CATCAGGCCTTAGCTTTCCGTTGCAGCATTAGGGATGATTCACTCTCAGGTATGGTGTTGCTTTGGCAATTTCCAAACTTGGTGTGGCAGCAATTAACTGATATATAGAACATGATATAGAGAGTCAGGAGAGAGGCTCAGGATGCAGAGTTGTGAAAGAGTATTATTTATTGGAAAAAAATAACAAAGTACTTTATATACATGTTATTTAACATATATGATCTGGGTGACTAGAACATTCTAGTGGTGGATTTATTCTGTAGCCTGAAACACCCAAGCTTAGATACTTGAGAATTCCTGATCACAACTTCTGAGTTTTTTAAAAAAATTAAAATTGAGTAGATAAAAGTCAATTGAAAAATACTGGAAAAATATGAAATTTAGGTAGCATCAATGACCACATGTGTTCTAAAATATCCTTTCTGGACAAATAGTGATTTCATCAAGTACAACACTGAAAATACATACAGTCTCCTAAAAATATGCAAGTGTATGGTAGTAATACTGTATATGCAAATAATAGCAATATTCTTCCATCAAAAGTGAATCAACTTTATAAATGATAACGTATACATCAATTCACTTTCTTTATGCATTATAAGCATACTTTTGGAGTGAAAGAACTCTAAAATACAACCAATGGGCAGACAGGGCTGCCTGTGTGGCTCTGGTAGGTTGGGCGGTGGACCCTTGGTTTCAGCTAGGGTAGTGATCTTGGGTTGGAGGGATCCAGCCCTGCCTCGGGCTTGTGTTCAGCACGGAGCCTGCCTGGGATTCTGTCTCTCCCTCTCCTCTTACTCCTCCCCACTTGAGTGGGTGCTTGCGTGCTCTCTCTCTCAAATAAATGAATAAATCTTTTTTTTTTTTTAAAGAAGAAGCTGACAAATAAGCTATTGCAATATAGCATGACAAGTACTGATAGGGGAAGTGCAGAGTTCTCTGAAAGCACATAAAATATGAAAACTGGATTTAATAGAGAAATTTTCCTGGGGGACATTATGTCTAAAGGTCTTAAAGCTGTGGATGTGTTGGTCGGTTTGGTGGGAAGGGGCTAAAGAGAGAAGCTGAAGCATGTACAGAGTTCTGAAAGTGAGTAAGCATGTCTCTCACAAGGCGCTGAAAAAACAAACTGAGTAAAGCTGAGTGTTGGAAAGGGACAGCAGTAGTACACACAGATGAGGTGCACAAGAACCAGTTCTTGAGGGGCCTTGTAAAACAGAGTAAGGAGTAAACACTTTATCACAATGGCAACAGGAAGCCATTGAAAAGATTTAGGCCCAAGAGATCAGAGTTATGATTTAGAAAGATTACTCTGACTGTAGAGGGAAAAATGAAGGCAGGGGAGACAAATTAGGATTCCGTGATAGCAATCTAGGGAGATGATGGTGGTTTGAACTAAGTTAGTGATACTGGGAATCAAGAGAAGTGTAAAGATTAAAGACATTTTTTAGGAAGTTAGATAGACAGAACTCAGTGACTGGTTATAAGTGGACAGTGTAGGAGACAACTGTCATTTGCTGAGATTGGAAACATCGAAAGAAAAAAAGGTTTGGGAGAAGGATGCTGAGTTCTTTTTTATTTTGGATATACTGAACCTGAGGTACTAAGGGATAAGCAAGTACAAATGTTGGGCAAGCAACTGAATGTATGGATTTTATAATCTGTACAGTGCTCTGACCTGGAGATACCGATTGCAGAGTTGTTAGTATGAAATGGCAACGGAAACTATGGGAGTGGACACATTGTGTCCAAGGCAATGTGCCGGGTGGTGAGAGAGTAGGCTGTGTTCTCCTTATATTCTCCTTAGCCAAGCCTATTACTAGAAGTATCAACAGGTATGAAAGTCTTATTGTTTTCTCTTCTTTGACCTTTTGAAGCCATGAATTGACAATAAAAACATTTAAAATAACCTGGAATCAGTAAACATTTGTAAAATAATGGTTAAATATAATCTACAAACCATACAAGCAGCCCTTAATTGCTCAGGATCTAGCTTTGACTATTCTGAGCTTTCTACTTTACAACAAATCTTCACTTATGCTATAATTTGCCTTCCATCAGTTCTGTAATTGTTTATTTTCTGATCATCTGGATCAATGGATATGCAGCTCAGTGACAGCCCAGAGAGATTTTCTCTGATCAAAACATGTGATTACGTAGAGATGTGTTGGTTAGATGACAACCATAATTCATAATTGCCACATGGAAAAGATCCAAATACAGTTTTGGATGGGTTGATGGGGATTTGCCTCAATATGCTTCCTTTTCGATCTATAGAAGTCAAAATGGGGATGTAACCTCTAGGGTGGTTAATAGGTGGCATGCTAACATATGTTTAACAACTGGCTTGCCAGGAGAAAAGAGCCCCGATTTGTTGTGTTTGCCAATTTTGATAGTGTAAATACTCCCCTCATAGACAATTTCAGGCTACCAACTGATGCCACTGAAGGTGGACTGGGGGGGAAAAGGTTACAGTTGATTTCTGCAAGTCAGTGCAAGCTGGCTCTGGCACACTACTGGACTGAGTATGATTTGACTGGTGACCAAGGATGGGAAAATACCTGCATATCACAGCTTAAGATATGAGAGGACTGAATTCTACAAGACACCGAGTTTTCGCTTTAAGGAAAATTGACTTATTCATCTCTGGCCAGTTTATTTGTAGGTTTTAACCTTTTCCATTTGAATTGAGAGCTGTGGTATGAATGATGTATACATTAATAATCTAATAACCTTAGCAATATAACTTCTATGTTCTTATTCATAAGGAATAACAGTTTCTAAAATTGGCTTGTATCCGAGACTGAAATGATTGAGAACCATTTTCCATTTAATTCCTTATACTGTGAACCAAAGAAACGACCAGTTTCTTTTCCTTTCAGGGTACAAGTATAATCTACATTCTAATATGTTTCATAAAAGAAAATGTATTAGTTCCATCAAATAAGCAAAGTTTGTTTTTTCCCTATCAAAGCAAAGAATTTGATGGTATACTGCTCTAACCAATAAAAAATTCAGAAAGAATAGCAGCAAAATATCTCTTTATGTGATTTAATATATGCCCTATTAACAGCAGTGTGCAGATACACAGTATTGACAGTATACTTTAAATAATTACTATTCAAACTTACTTTAAAATTTTTTTTCAATATTAGCACTGGTGGAATTAGAGCCATTATTATGCATACTATATCTTTTTTGTGTTCCAAAGGAAAATTAAAATTCTTGGTAGCATTGGAAAAGAATGTACTTTTTAATATTTAATGCAGATATACAAAATCTCATGACTTCTATTAAAAGCCTCACAATTCTACTGTGTACAAAGGAAGACACCTTTTCAAATAACTTGGCCTTATGCCAAATTCATAAAGGTTTCTATAAAAATATTTCAAACCCAATAAAAACACACTGATATAGTACAAAGTCTTTTCTTTTGTGTCAAACTTTAAAAGGTCTGTATTTATACAAATCCACAGTACTTTTTAGTGCCCTCCGATTGGTATTTTTGTTCAGGATTATCTAATTTTAGAAATCTAAGTGAACATTTTTCATCAGTTTTCTGCTTCAGCATGGAAGACACTGAGAACTCATGGAATAAAATTTTTAAACAGGATTGGGTAAAAACTTTACAAAGCAGAATATTAAACACTTTATACACTTTAGTTACTACCCTGCCAAAGATAAAAATACCCCATTGTCCCATTTCCCTTATTTAACTTGAATCTTTAGTACCCCTCCTTTATCTGTATAGAAGGTCTCTGAGACACAAGTGTACAGATTTTAGGTTCTTCAACAAAATCCAAAAGATCACTAAGCCATTTTCTGTTTTCAAAGTGTATTTAAAGAAATGCTTGTTTCAATATAAAACCCCAAAGTGCTGAATTAAAACACATTAATAACATGACTGGCCAATTACTGACTTGGCTTTAGCCTTAGAGGAATATTATTACAATTGGCTGTTAAATTTCAAATTTAAGCATTTGGTTTTATACTGTAATACTGTACTTTCCTACACAGATATCAAAGAAAATGAGCTGATTTTTTTTTCCTTAAAGGCATAGTAAAATATTTTAGCCATAATACAAATCAACTTTGGGGGGAAAAAATCCATGCCAAGATAGGAAATAGATTTTTTAAAATCTTAGAATAATTGTTATAAAAGAACTATAAAATGTAAATTTCTGGAAAAAAATACATGGAAAATGTCTCTCTAGAAAAAAAATACACAACTTGTTAGATACAAGAAAATATAGCATTACCATGGGGTGCAGCCAGCAATGGATGTGGCTTATGAGACTTAAAAAATTCACAAAAGGTAATTAGCACCAAAATTGTCTAAAACTTCAAATGATATACTGAAGTGATTCCAGGCCCAAATATTACATTATAAAAAAGTTACATTTAACTTTCATCAGCCATAATAAATATATCCTTTTCAATCTTTAGAAAATGTGCTAGCTTTACTGATTTTCATCACAGTATTAAGGTAGTGTATAGTAATTATCATTTATATTGGTTTGGGCTGAGCAGGAACAGTAGATATCCAAGTTATTTCCCCAAATAATAAGGGGTTATTTGGTGGGTATGGGTGGGGACAATTATCCCATTAAAACTTTAGCTCCTTGTTTCATCCTTTTTCTTCTAAAATATTTTGTTGGAATTCTCTACAACTTGGTTTGAATTCCATATCCTGTTATTTTCCCTGCTCACTTTTGGTGGTGTTAAGATTTGGTTTGGGACTAGGGTGGGGTGTTTAAAAGTGGGCACAGATCACAGTAGTAAAACAAGACTTTTGAATAAGCTACAAAATGTATATTCAACCCTGTTATTATCAAGAGTTGAGTTTAATTTGAAACAACATCCACTTATAAATTTAATTACAAAACAGCACACAATTTGAAACAAGGCAAACTTTTCGGCTTTCATGTAGTGAAATATATAACTTCACCAATCACATATATGGCTACCAAATGTGAAACAACAGCTTATTCGGCCGTATTTTACTGTTGCACATAAATAATGACTAGGCAAAGAACAGCAACTAGTCCAAGGGCTTGTAGGCCAAGGAACCACAGCATAATCCAAAAGAAAATGACTATTACTGGTTCCACAATTCGTTCTCCAAAATACATCCTTGTGAAGCCCATGTCGATGAGGTTTTTGTTCAATTCACCAAAAAGTGTTCCCATCTTTTTGTAGTCATCTCCAACAGGCTCGCCAGTGTGGTTTTGTGATTCTTCAATAACCTTTATAACAAAAACAAAAACAAAAAAAAACCAGAAAACAAAACATAAACATAAAATGAGAAATAGGGGAAGTTCCGTAAGAATAATGACTATCTCATCGTTCTCCCAAAATACGGGGCATATTCTGATAATCATTCAGTAAATATCTGGGAATGTTCCTTTTGATTAACATATAGAACAACTATGTCTGTGCCCACCTTTCAAGGATATGGAAAGCACTGATTTATTGATTTCTGTAGAATCAACATTGGACCCTCAACTATCAGAACACTGATTTATGAGATTAAGGAAGGAGCTGATTCATTTCCATTCATTTTCTAGTTTCCTGGGATTTTAAAAGACAGCTGCTTAAATGAGGAATCATGTTTGTATTGTCCTTATTCTTTACAATGATTTAAAAATAACTTTTCTACCAACTTCCTGTTTTCAGGCAGGGACCCAAATTGCTCTGTCTTGTCTAAGTAAGCTTTTTCGTCCATTCCGTTGACACTGAGACTTTAAGAAACCTAGCCTCAGCTGACTTGAGCAAATCTTGTTGCTACTATTGAGCATTCCTCAGCCATCACTGTTGTGATCTTTCAGTCTTGGCTTTGGCTAAGGAGACCTCCGTGTAGGCCCTTGCATAGTTTCTTGTCCAAATACTAGAAATGTCCTAAGTGCATCTTATTAATCCCATCAGGAGAGACAAAGAGTTTTCACATAGGAATAATTTTGTACAATACGTCCAAAAGTCCACCTAGAAGTCAGCTCCTAAGAAAATGTCCACGTGTACACAATATGCATATCAAAAAATGTTTACTATTTCCAAAAAATGCTTACTATTTCTATTACCTCTTATTACAAGTAAGGCCTTCACGCCAGTTATTGAGCTACTGTCTCTCAGCTTCAAACCACTCCTTGTAATTCTAGAAACATATTTGTCTCCTTGTTAGTCTCTTCCAATAGAGGGGTGAATGAGACACTGCACAGCTGGAGAAGGAAAGGGATTTGCTATCGTTTGCTCCCAGTGGGTTTGCTGGTGCTGTCAGTTTTGCTCTAGCAACAGTTCTTCACTCTGGTAGTAGTAATTTCTTCCAGTAGCAGCCACTGATCTCAGTTTGGGGATTTCCCAACACTTGCAGAACCAATCTCAATGTGCCTTCTTGAGACACCAGATCCAACTTGTGGGTGCCTATTCCTCAGCTATCTTGATCTTAGTTCTATGGGATCCCCCCCTCTGAGTACAGAGACGCCAGTACTGGGTGAGCAATGATGAGTTCTTGAAAGTCTGAGTTTCAGCTCCACAGGGCCTTTCCCCAATCTTCTCAGTTTTAGTAATTCTACCCCTTTCTTTGCTGCCCCAGGCCAGGCCTAGGAGTGGGGGCTGCTTCCAGTTGTTGTTACCTACATGATTTTTAAATTTTAGCATACTTTTTAAACCCCTGGAGGGCTTGTTACAGCACAGACTGTTGGGCCTATAACCAGGGTTTCTGATTCATAAACCAGGGCTAGGGGTTGGAGTCAGAATTTGCATTTCTAATAAGTTTCCAGTTGATGCTTATGATGCCTGCCTGGTGACCGTCATTTGAGAAATCACTGCCTTACTGTTCTGTTTCTGCCTTTTCCATTCTCCAACACCTAATTAATCATTCTTTGAATTAAATTATCTTTGTTGAAATCATTGATATAATTTCTCCTCACTAGACCCTAAGACAGCCACAAAAGAAAAACTACGTCATGTAGGTGACATAGTTGTCTGGTAATTTATTAAACCTAATTGCATTTAGGAGTCATGATTCAAATCAGTCATTATTTACTGAATACCTTCTAGCTCATTGTAGGTGCAAGATGGAGAATTATTCATATAACAAAAAATTTTTAGGTATAGGGTTTGACATAGGAAAAAGTAGTATTAAATACCATTAAGTATGCCGTCTATACCAGAGGAAAGGAAACTTAGAAGACAAAAGTCACCTGCCAAAAAGAGCCAATGAATTGGAGCAAGTTTTGAGACACTCTTTAAATACATGAATCACACTTAGATTCCTTTAGTAGAAACCAAAGCTTGATCATTTCAGCCATCAATATATAAATATATTTTTTCATTTTAAAAATGCCCTATTATCTAGTCTAAATATATACAATGTAAAGTATATATTTAAGGAAAGAGGGAGTGAAAAAAATCTAATTTTTATTTGCAATAGCAGATAAAATGATTTTCAATAGGACTTTAAAGTGATCTTTCCCCTTATAACAGCAATTTATGTAGAACAGAGTGTCATTGATGAAATAGTAGAAAAATGAAACTTATTGGGGCAACATTGTTAATTATATTTTAAGCCAGAATTATTTTTGAATTATATTTACATATAATTTTAAAATTAGTTTTGAACTTGCATTTCTACCAAAAAAAAAAAAAAAGAGTGGAAAAAACAAAATGCTGTAGAGGGAGTTGAAATCCAGAGTTAAAATCCAGGCTCTAACACTTAAACTGAGTGACCTTGACCAAATCACTTTCATGAGCTTCAGTTTTCTAACCCATAAAATGGATTTACATGATTCCTTTTGATAATGATAATTTTCTCTTGAATTATAATTTACTTGTTAACCTTTCCTCAATTTTTGTGTTTATTCCTAGCTGATGTGCTGTGATTGGGTGAATTTTATGTTTCTCAGCTTCTCATACTTTTATGTGTTCCATGATGATATTCTACATTATAAAAGAAAAAAAAGTCTTGTTCTTGCCTGAGATCAAGCCCTTCTCTTCTTCAGGACAGAACTTGAAGACTACTTGATTTAGTTTGTAATTCTTCCGGGGCCTCACTTCTCTCTACTCCTCCAGTGTCTTGTATTGTTGATAATCATTTCTGGCCTCCTTTTTTTTACTTTTTATTAAAGTTTTTTTGTTTTCTTTTTTACTTTTTCCAATTTCTTTTAATCTATGCACTCATTGTACTTTGGGGTTTTCTGTTGTTACTGAAGAATTTTAAGACTTTTTTCTTTCAGTATTTTTGTGGTTGTAGTACAAAGAAAGTACCCTAATCTGATATGGTTCCTTCTGAAGATTCACTTTAAATTTTTCTACAGGCTGCTTGTGGGTTTTTCAGGGAAGAAGTAGGTGTTGCAAGACTTAAATCAAAACAAGGAATTAGCTAACTCCTAGAGGCCAAGTGAGGAGGCAGCAATGGATCGCATCGTCTCAGGTCCTGAGAATACCTGCTGGGATTGAGACTGGAAGTGGAAGACCCAGGAAGGGCTGGTCTGGGCAAGATGTGGCTGCTCCAGCCTGCTTTGTTTTTTAATATGAAAAACTTCAAGCACACACAAAATTAGAGAAAAATAAATACAACGATCCCCTATATACCTATAATCAGATTCAATAATTACTAAAATTTTGCCACTTGACTGCAGCACTTCTTAATCTGGGCAATCTAAAGGAGAGGAAAAAGTAAAAATCATTAGAAGAATGCCTAAAAGTGGCCTATATTCACAAATGAAGTTCTGTGGAAACATCCAAAATATCCAGCAAAGAATTAGATAGGTTTCAAACAATCCTCAAGGAAAGACATTTAAGCACATGGGGAAAAAAATAGGCAGCATTTTTAAATCAGTGAGATTATAGTCAGTCTCATTACAGTATTTTCTATATCTAGAATATCCACCCCAAATACCATAATTCTAAAAGGTACAAACATTGGTATGCTGGTAAGGGTTTAGCAGTAGGCTTTGTCCGGGGTGGGAGGTGGGGTGGGTGGATCTCTGATTTGAATTGTTTGCCAGTTCCATAGTTTTTTCCAGTTTCTGTAGCCAGTCCTTCTGCTGTGCTCAATTTCAGGCTACTTACAACTAGCTTGCAAGGTTCCTGAAAATTTAACAATTGGCTCTTGAGGTCTGGTAGGGGCTACCATCAGTACTCCACTGTAGGTACAGTAGTTGAGATAAAGACCTGCATGCTTATAATTGATTAGTTTTTTTCTCCCTTCTTTCCATCAGTTAGTGCATTTAAGGCTTTTTTTTTAAGTTTACAAAGTTGATAAGTGGGATAGCTAAATAGAATTACTGCAATACAGTATATTGAAATTAGGAAAGTTGTATTAAGAAATATGATTAGAGTAGTGGATAGGGTAGATAAAATGAAATAGATGTAATGCTACAAAACTACCACAATTAAAAGAATTTTGCTTTTTCTGGTCTGCCTCATGCAGATATTAAAAGTGCATTCAATTCAATAATTTTTATAAATTCTTATTTACAATAAAATTTAAAAAGCCTGGATGGTTTGTGAGAAAGTAGTGCTCCTTCAATGCTCTCTAGCTACACGAATGATACCACCATCCATATGCCAGATCCAAAGGCCAGAAACCTGAGGCCGTCATGATTCCTCCCACATCCCTCCCAGTTACATCTAGTTCATCAACATATCCTCTCTATTTTACCTTCTAAATATTTCCTTATTGTGTATATTGCTATTCCATCTGCTGCTGTAATCCCCAAATAATCTATTAACATCTCTTGCCTTGACTATTCTAGTAGTTTCCTAACTGCTCTTGCACCTATTCCTTGGTTTGCCTATAAACTATCTACCACACAGCAGCCAAAGTGATCCTTTTAAATGCAAATCCAATCACTCCACTCTGCTTTTAGGATTAAGGCCAAAATTTTTACATGATCTAGGAGGCCCTGCTTAGTCTAGCTTGTCTCTGGGTCTCTGGCCTCATCCTGTCATCAGCCTCCCTCTGCCTTTTTGTATTTCAGCCACAAAGATCTCTGACTTCTTGAACAGGCCATGCTTTTGCCTGCCGAAGATTTGCACATGCTGTTTTCTCTGCCTAACACACTCTCCTCCCTCCCTTGCTCAGTTAATGCCTGCTCCTCCTTTAGCCTCAGCCTAAGCCTCAACTCAATCTCATAGCACCATATAATGCTCTTTCAATGTATTCTAAATCAGTGTAGATGTGTGTGTAATTATTTGATGAATGTCTCTATCACTGTACCTGAGGATATGGACAATATCTATTTTT